CCCTGGTAGAGAAGCTTGCCATTACAGGGCCCACATGAAACAGGACTCGCATCAGCTCCCCTCCGACTGCTGCCTCCTGTGTTTCTTTCTTTGTCTTTGAGCCCAGAAGGCCTTCTGGGAGGAGCCCTGTGGTGCAGTGGGGTGAGAGTTGGCTGTTCAAACCCACCAGCTGCCCCACTGGAGAAAGACGAGGCCGGCTGCCTCTGTGAAGGTTCTCCAGGTCGGGAGGCCAGTGGGGTTCTGCTCTGTTCCCCCGGTCAGTGACCCAAAGTCAGCTGACACCACTGGGCTTGGTTCTGGGTTGGTGAGGCCACTTGTCCCCGGCAGTCGCCAACACCCCATCCACCCTGGGAGACAGCACAGGCCAAAGAATGCGGGGTGAGGGCAGGTGGGCAGCAGCCCTACCCAGCGCGCTGGACACCTGTTGGCCTTTCTTTAGTTGTCACGGGCACAGAGAACTGAAGGGGTCCCTCAGAACTGTCACGGCAGCTGCGTCCCTGAATGAGGCATACAAGTTTCCCATGGCTGTTGGGATAAATTGTCACCTTCTTTTAGTTGTTAGGTGCCATTGAGTCGACCACACTCACAGCGATCTGAACCCTGTCCTACCCTGAGCTGTCCTGACCGTCTCTGCCACACTAGAACCCGTTGCTGCAGTCACTGTGTCAATCCACCTCATTGAGGGTCTTCCCCTCTTTCACTGAACCTCCATTTTTCCAAGTGTGATGTCCCTTCCCAAGGACTGGCCGCTCCTAACAACATGCTCTGAATATGCAAGACCAGGTTTCCCCACCCTTTCCTCTAAGGAGCAGCTGGGCCACGGCCTGTCCAAGGCTTGTTCTCTGGGCAGTCCGTGGGACCCTGAGTACTCTGCTCCAGCACCACGGCTCAAAGGCATCAGTTGTTCTTCTGTTGTCCTTATTCACTGTCCAACCCTCAGAAACATAGCAAGTAATTGAAAAGGCCGTGGCTTGGGTCCAGCGTACCTTAGTCTTTAAACTGACATCCTTGCTCTTCAGTACTTTGCACTGCAGACTTTCCCAGTGCTACGTGTCTTTTCATTTCCTGACTGCTGATGCCGAGGTTGTTGATTGTGGATTCAAATCAGATGAAATAACTGACAGTTTCTCTCTCTTCTCCATCATTCATGATGTGGTCGATTGGCTGAGGGGTGAGGATTTTTGTGTTCTTGATATTGAGATAATCCTCCTTGAAGGCCGCAGTCTTTGACCTCCTGCAGCAAGTATTTCAAGTTCTCCTCTCTTTGAGTAAGCACACCTGTGTCCTGTGTGTAATGCAAGTTGATGAGTCTTATAACATTAGTGGCTTAAAAACAGCACACGTGCGTTCTCCTCTGAGGAGCCCTGGTGACTCAGTGTGTGACTTACCCGGCTCTCCTGGGAGAAGGGTGGGCGTCTCCTCCCTTTGCTCTTACAGCCTCAGAACCCACTGGACGGTCGCCAGGGGCACCACTCGGCTACAGTGAGCGTTCACACCTCTGAACCAGAACTTGCTTGTTCAGACATTGGAAATAAGTCTCTGCACTAACAGCCAGGTGCGGGCAGGGCTGTGTGCTGAAGCTGGGGTGCTGTGGGGAACAGGGGGACTGCTCTCCTGCCTTTCCGTTTCTTCTTCCACCTTCAAAGCCAGCCACGCTGGATGGAATCTTCCGGTGACACGTTGTACAGGTCCTTGTGCCATCTTCCACACTAGAGCACCCTGTGATGCCGTTGGGGACCTGGCGGGGTGGGCAGCGGTTAGTCACTGGGCTGCAGTTGAACCCCCACCAGCTCCAGGGGAGATTCCATGGAAAGAGATGACCACAGTCTTGGAAACCTGAGGGGGCAGCTCTCGTCCAGCCTGTGGGGCATCAGAGCAGCAGCCTGTGATTGTCTTAGGTGCCAGGGTGCGTGCCTGTTTGAGGCCCCCTGGTTAGCACCCCCAGTTCTGTTTTCTGCCTCTGCCGTTCCGCACGGTGCACTCAGGTGACGGAGACGTGGACCAGAGAGTGGCCATTCATCTGCCTGTCGCGGCTCTCCGTGCTCCCAGAGCTCCGTCTGGGGGAGCTGCACGGGGACCAGGTGCTGCGGCGTCACCAGGACTCAGTGCTGGCAGGGGCCACATCCACCCACAGCCGGAGCTGGCTGGACCCGGGGTGTCCGCAGTGGGGAGCGGTCAGGCCTGCGGCCGGTGCTCGTGCTCTGCACATGGCTGGTGGGGTCCCGGAGCTGCTCGTGGCCCAGGCTAGCCTGTGTGCGGAGTCCAACAGAGTGCCCCGACCTGTCTCCAGACCACCCTGACTGTGCCGTCTGTGGTAAGGGCCATGCTGGATGTACAGCCAAGGAGACCTGGTGGCTGCTCGCGGCAGGAGGGTGGGTACAGCCTGTTAACCATAAGGTCGGTGGTTCAAATCCAGCAGCCATATTGTGGGAGAAAGATGGCCGTCTCCTCCTGTAAAGCTTTGCAGCCTTGGAAAGCTGAGTGTCACAGGACACTCCAGGGCCCTGCGTGGTGGTGCTTTGTTAATATGGTGCGTGAGTGCACACACCATCCCCAGGTCTGCATTGACTGGCTCAGAACTCTGGGACAGCGGCGTGGCCCCTCCTGGCTGAGTTCCTAACCCTTCCACAGAGAAGCAGGACGTTAAGTCGGTGCACAGGACCTGATGTCGTGTAATTGCATGCCGAGTGGGCGGTAGACAGCCATTCTTCAACTTCCAAGTGAAGGGTACACAAGCCTGGGCTCACCTTGTCAGGGGCGGCTGAAAGAGGGCTCAGGTGACTCTTCGTAAGCCATCACCAGCCCGCACCTAAACCCACCGCCATAGCATTTCTGTTGAGTCAGGGCAGCTCTCCTGCAGATTCCAAGGTGGTTGGTCTTCACTGGAGAAGACTCTCTCATCTCTCTCCTGCAGAGAAGCTGGTGGATTTGATCTGTCAACCTTTCAGCTAACAACCTAATACTTTATCTCCTGTATCACTAGGGCTCCTTTGAGAACATTGTCGGTCACACAGTTAGAAGGAACTGCCAATAAGAAGTAAGACACAGGGATTTGGAGTGTCATTTGCCAAGTCATCCACCGACCTAGAGACTACTGTTCTGTCCTCTCGAGTCAGTTCTACTCATAGTGACCCTGTCCACAATAGCTCTGAACCCTGCCCTGTCCTGAGCCATCTCACTGGCTCTGACACACCTACCCCCACTACCCCAGTGACTGTGTCAGTCCACGTCCTCCAGAGTCTTCCTCTCTCAGCTGTCACTCCATCCTTCCAAGCATGATGCCCTTCTTTAAGGACTAGTCCCTCCTGGCAATATGCCCAAAGTATGTGAGACGGAGTTTCAAAATCCTTGCCTCTGAGGAGAAACTTGGCTTCACCCTCTTTAGGACAGACCTGTTTAGTTCTCTTGGCATTCCATGGTCTGTTCAATATTCTTCTCCAGCACCACAGCTCAAGGACATCAATTTCTTCTGTCGTCTTTAGTCGTTGTCCAGCTCTCTGATCATAGCAACCAGTTGTAAAAACCATGGCCTGGATCAGGCATATCTTAGTCTTCAGGAGAGGTACCGAACGGCAGATTGTCCCAATGCAATTTTTTATTTCCTGACTGCTGGTGCCAAGAGTGTTGATTGTGGAGCCAAGCAAGCTAAGACTGTAAACAACCTCAACCCCTTCTCCATCTATCATGATGCTGCCAGTTGGCCCAGTGGTGAGAATCTTTGAGCTTCAATCCATGTTGAAGGCCACAGTCTTTGACCTTCTGCAGCCAGTGCCCCAGGTCCTTCTTAGTTTCAGCAAGCAAGGTTTTGTCATCTTCTTAATGCGGGCTGTTGTTGAGTCTTCCTCCAATCCTGATGCCACGTTCCTCCTCATAAAGTCCAGCCTCCCGAATGATCTGTTCTGCGTATAGATTGAAAAGGTATGGAGACAGGACGCACTCCTTTCCTGATTTTGATCATGCAGTGTTTCTTTGCTCTGTTCTTAAAAGTGCTTCCTGATCCAGGTGTAGGTTTTGCATGAGCACAATCCAGTGTTCTGGATTCCCATTCTTCTCAGGGTCAGCCACAGTTTGTTGTGATCCACACCGTCAGACGCCTTTGCATAGTCAATGAAACACAGAATTACATTCCTCTGGTTTTCTACTTTCAGTCAAGATCCCTCTGACATTGGCTTTGATGTCCCTAGTGCCACGGCCTCTTCTGAACCCAGCTCTTATTTCTGTAGTTCTGTTGATGTACTATCCCAGTCATTTTTTTCTTATTTTCTTCAGCGGAATCTGCTTGCATATGATATTGGTGATACTGTTCAGTAATTCCTGAGCTTGGCCAGTTTGCCCTGTCTGGATCTTTGTGCAACCCACATTCGGTTGTATATTCATTTAAAGTTCACCAGGCAGCACTTGTGGCTTGGTGGTGAGAAGCTGTTAGCCAGCCCCAAAGTCATGCCGCCGTTCAAACCCTCTGGCTTGAGGGCCCCATTTGTGATTTACAGCCTCTGAAAACCCCTGGAGGGTCTGCCGAGGGTCAGTTCAGACTCGATGTACAGAGGACAACAGCGTGCATGAGGATGCTCCGTCCTGCGTGTCCGGAGAGTCCACCGAGGGTGTAATGTGGGATAACGTGTGTGGACGCTCCGTGCCTGTGTATCTGGAGGGTCAGTTCGGACTTGGTGTACAGAGGACAACAGTGTGCATGTGGACGCCCCGTGCCTGCATGTCTGGAGGGTCCGCCGAGGGTGTATGTGGGATAACAGGGGTGTGGACACTCCGTCCTGTGTGTCTGGAGGGCCTGCCGAGGGTGTATGTGGGATAACATGCGTGTGGATGCTCTGTGCCTGTGTGTCTGGAGGGTCAGTTCGGACTTGGTGTACAGAGGACAACAGTGTGTATGTGGACTCTCCGTCCTGTGTGTCTGGAGGGCCTACTGAGGGTGTATGTGGGATAACATGCGTGTGGACGCTCCGTCCTGCGTGTCTGACGCGCCTGTGTTCTCTTCTTTGTAGATTTCCCACATCGGCAAGCTGAGAGACTTCCTTCTGGAGCACAGGAAGGACTACATCAATGCCTGCAGGTGAGCGTCTGTGGGTACCGCTTTCTCTTCTGTGTTCTCATCCATCCTGCTTCCCTTGGGAGCTTTCTGCTGTCCCCACTTTCTGCTTAACCCCCGCAGAACAACGATGGGAAGACGGGCTGGACAATGGCAGGGCAGCTAAAAACAGAAGGGGCTGCCAGGCAGGTTGGCGTGAGCTCTGCGCCTCCTCACGGTTTCCATGTCCACTGTCTGCTCACGTGCTCCGTTCCGTCCTGTCCTTCCCTCCTGTCACGTGGAGGTCAGCACAGCTCTGCGTGGAGAGCAGGAGAGCTGCCCTGGGGCACCCTGAGCCTGGTGGGATCAGTCCCCACTGTGCTGGCTGCCGTCTCCACGGTCTCCACGTCTCGCTCGCTGGCCTGTGGCTCGGGCCTTCCTGTTTACGGAATCTTCTCAGTTTGGTGTCTCACCCTTTTGTTGCCAAAGTGCCTTTTTCTGCCTGATGGTCGTTAACTCCCTCTCATCTTTCCCAGCATTTGGCATTGGCTGCACAGGTATGTGAAGGAACTCTTGTAGCTCAGTGGTTAAGCATTAGCCAGCTAACCAGATGGTTGGCTGTTCGAGTCCACCACTGGCGCTGTGAGGAAACGATGGTGCCGTCCACTTGCTCAGAGGCTTCGGGCCTTGGAACCCAGCGTGTTGACTGTGCTGTGTCCTACAGGGCGGCCAGCCCAGCTCAGCTCATTGCCCCCGAGTCGGAGCTGGCCCCCCTTGGGCCCTCGAGGCTTTGGAGGCTGTGAGCTGAACAGCAGGAGATTGCCCATCTGTCTGCCGCAGCACTGCTGGTGGATTTGAACCGAGAAGCTCTGCTGTTGAGTTCACAGCACACCTCCCTCCAGACCACGCCACCTGAGCCCCCGCAGTGCTGCTCTGAGATGGGTTTTGGGGCATCCTGGGGGTGTGGAAGTTCTCGCTGACCTGGAGGAGAGTGGTGTAACTCACCAGTTACTCCGCGGGAGAAAACCATGACAGCAAGATTCACGTCCTTGGAGATACTGTGGGAAGCCCTGCTCTATCCTGTGGGGTTGGCGGGAGTCTCAGTCCACTCTGACAGCGGGCGTGGCTGTCACTCAGTCCTCGTAGTGGCCTGCTCCAGTCTCCCCTCAATAGCTTCATTGGAGAACACCCACTGGGTATGTCACTGCCCGTCACTGACAGAGGACTGTGTCCAGTAACAGCCCGTGGAGAAGGAGCCAAGCACCACGGTCACACTGTGGCCTCACTGCATGTGGCTGCCCGCCACCTTCTCTAGCCTCAGACCAGGTCCCACCCACACCCCATTCCTTCTCTTCACACATGTCCCTTCCCCTCCACACACGCTGTCCTCCACTCCGTCCCCATCGCACGCACAGATCTGCTCCCTGCCTCCTGCCCCATCCACACAATCTCTGCTGTGCCAGACCCTGTTGTTACCATCGCTGTGTCAGTTGTCTTGTTAGGATCTTCCTCTCTTTCTTTGACCCCCCCTCCCCTTCACAGTGTGATGGCCTTTTCCAGGTCCGGGTCTCTCCTGATGACAGGCCCGAGCTGTGTGAGATGCAGTCTCTCCATTCTTGCCTCAGAGGAGCATTTTAAAGGGAATGCACGGGTGCAGGAGATGCCCTCCTGGTCTTTGAGCCCAGGACCAGCGCAGTGGTCCTAAGCAGGGGCCATTTCCCACAGAGATGTTCTTCTGGCAATGTCAGAAGACCTTTCTGTTTGTCAGGACTTGGGGACATGTATTCCTGGGATCTAGTGGGCAGAGGTCCGGGAGCCGGCATAGGACAGCTGCCAGCATGGGAGTGACCAGTCCACGTTCTCCCTGTGCTGAGGTCGAGACGCTCTGCTCTGGCCTCACCTTGCTCTTGGGCCTGGTGGCCTGGTCAACGCTCCTGAGTGCACCTCCTCAGCTCTTCTGCTCCGCCTCAGCTCTGCCCGTGGGCCACCTGCTGACTGGTCTTCTTAGTGTCCAGTTCCTTTGACTCCGTGACACTGTGCCCTGCTTGTCTGGCCTCGTTCTTTACCGTTAGCCAGCTCCAGCCAACCGTGTGCATCAAGAAGGTGTGTGGCAGGTGTGTCCTTTCTCCTTCTTCCTCAATGTGTGTACTGAGCAAAGTATTCGAGAAGCTGGACGCTCGGAGGAGGAATGTGGCATCAGAATTAGAGGAAGACTCATCAACAACCTGTGTGATACAGGTGACACAACCCTGCCTGCTGAAAGAAAAGAGGACTTGAAACACTTACTGCTGTACCTCAGAAACTAGACCCTTCAGCGTGGATTACATCTCGATATTAAGAAAACAAACTTCTCACCATCAATAGGCAACATCATGATAGATGGAGAATTAGAGCTGTCAACTTCATCTTACTAGGACCCACAATCCGTACACAGGCTACCAGCAGACAGGAGAGCAGATGTATTGCACTGGGAAAGTCTGCAGTCAGAGACCTCTCCAAACTACGGAGGAGCAGTGATGTCATTTGAAGGACTAAGGTACACCTGGTTCAGGCCAAGTCTGCAGTCAGAGACCTCTCCAAACTACTTAGGAGCAGTGTTGTCGTGTGAAGGACTGAGGTACACCTGATTCAGGCCAAGTCTGCAGTCAGAGACCTCTCCAAACTACTTAGGAGCAGTGTTGTCGTGTGAAGGACTAAGGTACTCCTGATATTCAGGTCACGGTCTTTTCAGGCTCTTGACAGGTACCTGAGAGCTGGACAGTGAATAAGGATGACAGAAGAAGAATTGGTGCCTCTGAGCCATGATGTTGGAGAAGAGCACAGAACATCCCATGGACGGTCAAGAGACCAGACAGAGGTGTGTCCTGGAGGACAGGTAACCAGGGTGCTCCGTGAAGCCAAGGCTGTAAAGCTTCCTCTCACACACTCGGGCAGGTTGCGAGGAGAGGCTGTTACTTGGAGAGGGACGTCAGCTAAACGAGGGAGACGCTTAACGAGATGGATTGACCCAGTGACCGCAGCAGTGGGCTCCAGTGTGTCGGAGATGGTGAGGACAGGACGGGGTTCAGATCTGCCGTTCACAGGACTGCTGTGAGTCACGCTGACCTCCACGGCACCGAACAACAACAACAGCTGTGAAGTGCTGTCTTTGTCTTTGGTCTCACTTGACTGCTTCTCTTCAGGAAGACCATTTATGTCCTTGGCTCCCTATCTGTCTGTCTGTCTCTCCCGAGTGCTCGCTCCATCGTTGGAGGCTGAGAAACACGCAGGAATATTTTATCCTCACAGCAGCCTGTGAGCTGATTCGCAGGGAAGAAGTGCAGACAGAAAGCCAGTTGCTGTGTCTCACATAGCTGTGACTCCCCGAGCTGGGCTCCTTGAAGCTCCCTGTAACCCAGCCCTGGTGGTGAAAGCACTCAGCTGCTAACAGAAGGTCAGCAGTTCGAATCCCCAGCTGCCTGTAGTGAAGATTCTTACTGGGGTTCTTTCCAGGAGATGCAGTATGCTGGTAGAGCCTCCTGGCCTGCTCTCTGGACCAGCCTCTGAGCAAATGTCCTGCACAGGAGCGTGGCAGTGCAGCTCGTCACTTCCTGGCCGGGCAGCTGGCCGCAGGGCCAGGTCCACATACGGGCTCCCCTTACGTGCTGAGGGGGAAATGGGCAGGCTCGGGCTGCTCTGTGACGTGACATCATTACAAGAGAACTGAATGTCCCGTAGATGCAGAGAACAAACAGATGGGCCTTGGAGGAAGTGTGACCAGGCAGGATGCACCTTAGAGACGAGGAGGGTAAAGGTCCACCTCACACACTCGGGGCATTTTGTCAGGACAAGCCAGTCATTGGGAAAGGACATCGTGCTGGGAAGGTGGACGGTCAGTGAAGAGAGGATGACCTTCAGAGGCAGGTGGACGGTCAGCGAAGAAGAGGAGGACCTTCAGCCAAGCGGGCTGACACAGAGGCTACAGGAATGAGCTCGAGTGTGTCAGAGATGACAAGGATGGCACAGCGTAGGACAGGGGTTAGCCCTGCTGCTCATAGCATCACTGTGAGCTGGACTCATCTGGACAGCACTTGACAACAACAGTTAGAGCACAAGGTGTAAGTCTCAGTCACTACCACCAGGAAGCACCAGGATAGAGTGGAGAAAGAATCCACAGTCCGTGAACTTGCAGTCCAGAAACTCCAGCACTGGGCAGACCTGCTGCCGTGGACTTCCTGAGAGTGCTAACGAGTAAGAAAGTCCTTTCTAGACTGAAGATGCGCCTGGCCCGAGCTGTAATGTCTTCCACGCTTTACGTGCGTGTGAAGGTTGGACCATGACTAAGAGGAACCAACGAGGAACTGATACCTTTGAATTGTGGTCCTGGCAAAGAGTCCTGCCGGTACCAGGGACCGTCAAAGGAGCAAAATAAACCTTGCAAGTCCAGCCATGGTTCTTCTTGGAGGCAAGAACGGTGACACTTCGTCTAGCAGACTTTGGGTGTGTTGTTGGGAGAGGCTGTACTTTGCAAAAGGACATCATGCTTGGAAAGGTAGAGGGTTAGAGGAGGAGGAGGAAGACCCCCAGGGTGGACAAGTACAGTGACCGCAGGAACGGGCCTGGGTGTGTCAGACAGTGAGGACAGCACAGGACCAGGCAGCCTTCAGATCCGGCGTTCATTGGGTTGCTGTGAGTCAGACGCGACTCGATAGCACCTAACACAACACGTATAAAACGTGGGGTGTCTGCGCTTCCTAAACCTTCCTTTCACACACAGAATATGAAAGAAAACCTGTGTGGTATTTTTGGTTGAGTGGTTCGGAGTTATTTTTAAACTTTGTCATAGTATGTGACGGCCACCAGCTGCTCCACAGAGAAGGATGGACAGTCCCTTCCCGGGCGATTAGCTGCCTCTGAAAACCCACTGGATTTCCAACCCTGGGTCGGTTCTGACTCTGTGGTACACAACAACAACAACAGCAGCAACATACTCTCCAGGTGATTCTTTAAATAGCCCTTGACCTATTGTCTACCTACACTTAATATAGGCGGCTTTCTTCTTTGAA